AAGCATATCTTCTACTGTTTGGATTGTTCTCTCCGTCTGACCATCTATTTGGGGATGATAAGCTGTGCTGAGGGCAACTCGAGATCCCAATTCACGTTGGATACTCGCCCAAAAGTGAGAAGTGAAACGAATATCACGATCAGAAATAATCTTTAGTGGCACACCTTGTCTCGTCACAACTTCGTCTAAGTAAACTTGTGCGTATTTCTCCATTGGAGCCGTTTCACGTATGGCGAGAAAATATGCACTCTTAGTCAGCCGGTCGACAATTATCCAAATGTTATTATTCTATATAGCAGTCTTTGACAATTGGAGCAGCATTAGGTATAAGATCAATTCAGAATTCTACTTGCCTATCCGGGGGGAGTTCAGGCAATTCGTCGGGGAAAACATCAGGGTATTCATTAATGACGGGAACAACAATTACAGTTTTCTTCCCCTCTTTTGAGATATCAACTGTATAAGTCGGATAAGTAGAATATCCATTCGATATAAATTTACGAGTTTTTAAGAAAGAAATTATTATTTTCACTGTAGACATAAATAGAATCTTCTCTTTCGATAGGGATGAGTACTATCTTTTCGTAGCACAAGAATTTTGCGCGGTTCTTTGACAACCAATCCATGCCGAGAATAATATCAAAGTTAGGCAAGGAGATAAAAATTAAGTTAGCAAGAAAATTATAACCTTCAATTCCTATGACACTATCTCTATAGACTTTATCAGCAAGTAATGATATATTTCCTATGTTATCTATATGAAATGATTGGACAAATGCGTAACAAGCGATTTGAAAAGAATATTCGAATTCTCGAGACACAAAAGAATCTGAGGCATTGGAATCAAATAAGATGTGAACAGGTCTAGATTTGACGATAAATGTACCAGTCACAATATTTAGGTTCTCGCGTGCCTCTTTTACGGTAATCTGGAATACACGGCTTTTAGCTTTTGCCACTTCCTCCTTTTTAGTTGGAGTACTCTTTGATTGTTGAACGGAAACTTTACTCCCCGCCATTTGACTAGTAAGAGTAGGGAAAAAACGTTTCTTGTGGCTAGTAACACCACATGCATAGCAAGTAACATCTCTAGCTAATGATTGCTCAATCCTTTAATGAAGATCGTTATATTTCTATCGACTACCTCGACCATCTCCTTCTTCAATCTTCCTAATGATATTTCGTCACTATACAAGACATGGTTCTCTAAACCAATCAACTTCTTTCGCGGATTTATACTAATCGGACTCGATTCTTTATGACCACTAAGGTTCGAATGGAAATCGTCTTCTTAGTCATCACCGAAACAAAGGTAATGACATACTTGAACAAGAATGGAATCAATTATTAGCTTCTTGGTAACGTTCTGACTTTCCCTGATCCAAGTGTGAGTCCTGTGCTTCCAGTAGTATAGGCCTCTACTACTATTCACACCTACTCATACTCGTCCCAAGTATTGTCTCGCAGTTTCCAAGTCACCATTCAAAATCACAAAGCAACTTATCACACATGAATGTGTTCAAACAAGTACTTATGACAATTTCTCCTAGACTCAATTAGGGATTTCACATTTCTATTAAACATATCTTAGATTTCCTATACTCGCCTTCTAAGATTCTTTTCATGCACATGCTCGATTTAGTATATCCTAATACTTTTTCATAGGCCGATAGAAATTTTACTTCCAATTCTTCATATAAATTCTTTCTCGGGTAGTGTCTACTTTGCAAGACACACTATGCCAGAATTTACTCTAGTTTCGTGGAGATAAACGGTCTTTAACTATCTGCATCATCTTCTAATTCATGCAAGTCACCATGCACATTTGTTCATTTCTGTATATGAGTAAGTCTTCTTCTCATGAGTGTATCTTTTAAGTCTTCTTCATAGGAGTCTATTTAAAGAGGTCTGCATTATAGCTGCATCTCAGCATGTTCTACTACTTTCAAATTAGTTCTCTTTCATTCCCAAGTACAACATCTCTTCTCATACAACACTATGAGTGTATATCTTCTTCAACTAAGCATTCTACCTTACTTAGACAAGTAAGTTACTTAGCCTTTTACCACTAAATCACATAATTCACCATCCTAATGATGTATGTTAAAGTCGGCTTAACACACAATGGAATTTCCATAAGGATGTGATAGAAATCGCTCAGTATTATTAAATACTAAGTCTGAACATCCTGTATAGGATTACTACTTGAACTACACACTATATCAAAATGTTTAGGCAAAGCCTTGGCCTATTGAGTCTGAAAACTTCATTAGCCTTTCCTTTGATATTTAAATCTTCTAAATCTTGTACAACATCAATTGCGATACTGTCGAAGTATTGATCACCATCTTCGGTTCTTCTTACTCTATAAGCAATCATTGCTTCATTTTGGACAGCGGTGGAACAACTTCATCGGTTACGCCAAAACATTTATCTCGTCCGAATGTGTTTCAAACGCACATCTTTCTTCCAAAGATGTTATTATATGATCAAACATACTTTAAATGTATAATACCACTTTATAGGTATTAATACACTATTTACAATAATACTTCATAAATATTATTTTACGATATCCCTCGATCGTTTATCTATAAACATTATCGATGTCGACTATCATAAGTCTTTTTATCACTTCGAAAAGTTTCTTATCAGTTATAACACGGGAATTTTGGAATCTGGAATACTTAAAATTTCTTCTTCCAGACCTAGGTCGGCAACAGACCTTAAACTCTCTCATGTAATAGCAATATAAGCAAGCATCCTAAGGCATGCTATATTCATTTATCATTTAGCACATATTAGAATATAAGGCATATCTCCTCTTAATATTCTAGTGCTTGTGTCCATTTAGGTGTTTAACCTAAAATATACTAGATACACATCGTATCATCATTACTTAGCAATTCATGTTTAAGTCTAGAATTTCTCAAAATTCCTAGTTCACTTAAACTAATGCTCTAAAAATTTTGAAGTAACTTAATATTTTAAAATACTAGGGTTTATCACTACCCAATACCCCGCTTAAATCTTTCCTATGGTTTTTATCCATATATTCCTAATGAATTCGTTCATATATTGAACTTCCAACGGTTTAAGTCTAAATACCAATCTGTGATATTTAGTTCACTTAAACTACTGCTCTGATACCATGATTGAAAGAACCCCTTTCTAAACTTTCGTATTTCTGAAAGACCCAAACTTTCATACTTGACAATTGTTACTCCAAAACATGCTACATGCATCTTTATAAAACAACATCTTACATTGATAAAGTGATTACAAAAGATTGGATACAACCCGACTATGTTTTAATATTTTACATAACTACCCAGGATATTGTAATTTTATACAAACATAAACCGAAATACAAAAGTAATAGTAAAAACTATTCTACATCTTCCGACAGTAGATAACCATACTGGTTACTTATCTCCTGCAATTGTTAAACACTGAGAGGGGTAAGAGGTGACGCTTAGTGAGTTCAATATATAGGAACAATTGTATGTTATGTGTTATATGTGCTATGTGCTTTTCAGTGATATCATTCCGGGTTATTTTCCCGTGTTATTTTTAATTCTGCTATTTATGATAGCAAAGCTATACATTTGACCATGTGATCAGTGAAAGGACTTAGATTCATGGTGGTACTGGTACGTAGCCTCTGGCCATGTCGAGCATGTCTCCGTAAGAGAATGACTTCTATTCTATGACATTGGCAGATGGTTAGACAGGGCTATAAGCCTGAAATCTACCGAAATGTTTAAATCAGAAAGTGTATGTCTTCTGTGCCATTTGGGCCGAAGCTTTATTGATCGTATATCTTTGAATCAAATCATTGATTGATATGGAAAGTTTGTCACATGATTCACATATGCCTTTGTTGTTCCTTGTTCCTCTTTGCTTCTGCCATATTGAAGTATATATATGGCATAACGTTATATTGTATCTATTATTGAACTCACTAAGCGTCACCGCTTACCCCTCTCAGTGTTTAACAATTGCATGAGATAAGTAACCAGTATGGTTATATACTGTCGAAAGATGTAGAATAGTTTTTACTATTACTTTTGTATTTCGGTTTATGTTTGTATAAAATTACAATATCCTGGGTAGTTATGTAAAATATTAAAACATAGTCGGTTTGTATCCAATCTTTTGTAATTACTTTATTAATGTAAGATATTGTTTTATAAATATGCATGTAGCATGTTTTGGAGTAACAATTGTCAAGTATGAAAGTTTGGGTCTTTCAGAAATACGAAAGTTTAGAAAGGGGTTCTTTCAAAAGGTCTCTGTCCAGAGCCAAACAGGATGTGAGGGGAAACGTGGCTAAGAAATGAATATACACCAAAAATCTGTCTAATTTACTCAATTTCGCACCCTGCATTTTAAAGAAGGTGAATCTTTGAACACCCATCTTTAGATCAGTGAGTTCTCCCCTGTTTATGAATTGATTAAAAGCATTTGCACTGATAGGACAAAAAGTTGAGTTTATCCTTTCTTCCGGCCTTCTGACCACATTAAAATCCCCCATAAGAATCCACGTAGCAGAAATGGAGGATTTCAAAGCTAGCAACTCATCCCATACTTTTGATTTCTCATTTACTGATTCGGGGCCATAAATGTTTACAATGCCCGTGAGACCATTAATGCCTACAAAATTACCCCAAAGTCGTAATGCCTACAAAATTACCCATTAATGCCTACAAAATTACCCAAAGTCGTAATGTAGTACCTTGATTTGATAGTGTCCACAAGCGAGAATATTTTCTTATCCCATATAGACACCAAGCCTCCCGATCTCCCCGTAGTGAAGACCTGCTCGAACCCATAGTCAGTGTTATCCCAACATTCAGTAATATTGAGAGGAGGCGATGATTCACCCAATTTGGACTCTTGAATGCCAATCATACATAGTTTATGTTCATTCCTAAGCCTGCGAACCCAGTCTGCCTTGTGTTTCTCTCCGAAACCTCTAATGTTTAGAGTCATAATATTTATTGCATGATTTGATTCTCACCATCCTCGTCGAGGGCTTCCTTAAGGACCGGGTTATCCACATCTATCTTGAAGCCCAAAATATTTACCACCACCACAGTGTTCCTAATTTCCGCCGCCGAAGAGGATGGATAATAAACTTCTATTTCGGGAAGAGAAATTAGAGTAGGAATCGGAATTCTATTTAAATCGAGTGAAGGATGAGACGGAGTAAAATCTGAAGAATCCATAGGAGTGCCTGTTTCGTTTCTCTCAATTCTCCGTCTTTTATCTTGAGTACTATCGAAGTTAACATCAAGCTCACACGATAACATATCATTACAATCCATTGTATTTGGAAAAGGCCCAAAGCAGCCGGACAAAACCATTTTATTAAGTGGACCATTAGACGATCCACCCGGTCCTATACTTTCATTTATTTTATCAGCCACGTATGAGTTTTTTTCTAGATCGACGTGAGACGTATCGTTGATATTATCTTTACTTCCAAGGGTTTCGACTTCCAATTGCGCATTAATTTCTTCATCCGACTTTGGATGTTCCCCATGTCTGTATCTTTCGCTTCTCCGGTCGTCTCTGTCGATTGGATTGTCTGCCAGAAACGTAGCCCATGCCGGTGATCTATCGTTGTCGGCCATGTTAGACCGATTATCCCGATTTGATTCTCCAACCCTATCAGCGTCCATCGTACCAATCTCTCCTTCCTCCAATTCGTTATTATTCTCAGCGATAATGATCTCAGATATACCGTCATCGTCGTCGACATCTTCATCATCAGTCCCGTCATCCTCTGATATTGAGTTCTCGTCCAGTTGATCTCTATGAGATTTGAATGGTACCCAATCAATATCCACTTCTGAAATTCCGATTTTCATGACTTTACCATTACCTCCACCAATGATTCGCAGCAAATGTTAGTCAGTGATGATGTTAGGATGCCGACTTTTCCAAATGATAGATTAGTCAATGTATGATCCACGACTAACGGAACCAACACCTAACCATATGTCGCATCGATGGCTGTGACATTTTCCTCCGACCATAGTTCCGGTGATAGGCCAACGATTTTTATCCAAGCAATTCTCTCAAATTGAAATTCTGCAATATCACCACTATCAATTCTCAGAAACCATTCCACCCACCCGTTCATGAGAGGATTTCTACTTGTCAAATCCATGAGTTTTATTGCAATTCGTAACTCACCAAGGTACTTTATTTCACATCCAGATCCATCACAGTTTTTAATTGCATAAGGTGCTTTCTCCAGATGATCAAAACTATGCAATACTCCAATTAAAGTATAGTTACCTTTGATCCAAGCTCTAAGTGGGGAGTCATCAGAAAGTCTAACGGGAGTAGTTTTCAATTGTGGAGGAGGTGGTGGGATTCGAGTGTAGTGATGATCACCTGCTACAACTGCCGCATAGGATTGATTCATTCTCCCGTTAGATCTTGCCCCTGGAGGAATATGATTATGAAATTGGTTTCTAACAATCCCGCGTTCGGATTGTCCACCAGCAGGTTTTCTTTCAAACATCGCAATGTTTACTTCCAGGATTCTACCACCATATTTAACTCCTTGAAGAGCATTCTCAAGCCTCTGTTCATCTCCAACCTTTTTGAATCTTACGAAAGCGAAACACTTCTTCTTTGCGTCCTTCTTTGTAGCGATATAGACGTCCACCACCGCACCAAACTTAGCAAACATCTTCGCTAGAGACTTCTTGTTGACCTCCGGTGGAAGGTTCGACACAAACATCGTTGTAACGCCACCGTGATTCCATGATAGTCGATCGCCGTTCGTCGATAACTTCTTCTTCCATTTTCTTCGTCTTGCTTCCGTCCATTCACCTTCTATCTCCATGGACTTTATAACCCGCTTTTTTTTTTTAATTGAACAACGTATTTAACCTTAAAATAGATGTATGGATTAATTTCATGCATTTAATTCTCTTTCCACAACCACCATACATAGTCATCAATTTTAAGACACGTGACTATATATATATATATATATATATATATATATATATATATATATATATTATATATATATATATATATATATCTATATATATATTATATATATAACTAAGTTCATGTGTTTAAATTAATTATTGTGTTATTGTAAGCATAAATGTGGGCCAATCAAAATTAAATAAAAAATTAAATAATTAAATAAATGTAACACTCGTGTTTCTAGCCTAGGCATTAATATTAAGGTGATAGTCTAGGTTAACCTTTGTAACTCATTTTGAAGAAATGAAAAAGGAATTATGTGAATTCTATGTGTTTTATGTGTTTTATGCTTAATTACTAGGAGTTAATTAATTAAGAATAAAAATAAGCGTCAAAATTAAATTTTAGATAAAGCCGATATCTATTAAGAAAGTTGTAGCGGCCGTGACAAGGATTACAGATATATAAAGAATGCCGAAATCCGAGTTATAACGAAAAAGTTATGACCTGTCGAAGTTTCACGACAAAACCGGCTCGGTGCTGAATGTCGTAAAAAGTGAGTTTTCGATAAACTACTTTTTAGCCTTAGTAATCTAAACGAAACTTGTAGTGTTGGTTAAACCGAGAAGTTCGATAAAAAGAACGCCCGAATCTGACTTCGTATGAGGAAGTTATGATTTTTCGAAGTTTCAGCTTAGCAGCAGACAGCTAAAAACTCGAAATTTAGATCGAATGATTTTTAGCCGACACAACCTAAACGAGAATCGCAGGTCTCGTAAATAGTAGCACAACGGTAAAAGTCTGACGAAAACGGACGTCGGATGAAGAAGTTATGAATTTTTAACGGATTTCCTGTCCCGGTCTGTTAAAAATAATAATATAAAAATTAAAGTCAAAATTAGCCGACGAAGTCTAAACGGAAGTTGTAGAGCGTAATTTTACCCTACGCGTGCATATAAAGAACGTCAAAAACAGAGCTCGTATGCGAAAGTTATGGATTTTAGAAGTTTTTGCACAAAAACCGAGAAAATTCGCATAGTCACGAGTTGCCATGTCACCCTCGCCTCGCATGTGCCACGTGTCCGAAATCTGTGACTCATGCGAAGCCACGTGGCGAAGCTGCTGAGTCATCCGAGTACATGGCCTTATCCGAAGCGGTCCAGTAGCCATGCGACACGTACCCTCTTAGCACGAGACCGAACCCTCGCTGACTGCCACGGTGCCTAGGCTTCAGACCAGTAGACCTCGGTCCAATAGGAGACTGCTAGCGAGCCTTCGCAGGTGCGACCCACGTGCAGCCCTCGTGCGAGCCTCCTTTGCGAGCCGTCGGATCCGCGGAGCATGACCACTTCTCAGCCATTGGATCAGGAGGCTCGGCCCTATAAATACAAGGGTGCGAGACCTCCCGGGGGTACTTTTGAAAATTGTCAATTTTAGCCCCTAAACTCATATTTCTTTCATATTATCATCCCCCGAAGCCTCGGTATCAATTATAATCCCCGGAATACGCCACGAAGTGTCCGTGAAGCCCGGAAAATTTATCTTTTCGGTTTCGAAGCCCGACTTTTGCAGAGCCCGGTTTCTCAATAAAACTCCCGGTTTTATTAGAAACGAACGTTTTAGGAAACGAATTGCTGCCCGATTATCATCAAATCATGTGCGTGTGTAGTTATTTTCACCTTACACATAGATATGAAGTATTTTACATAAAATACGTGTTATGTGAATATATATTGTTTGTTTATTTGAGATGGGTGTTGAAGGAATGATTTATACAGGTTTTTAATAATTTTAAACTGTATATGTATTTTTATCTATGAAAATGTTGGGTAAAACATGGGTAGATGAAATAGTGGGTGTGATGAAAGGTGAGTTGGATAAAGGAGATGATCAGTAATATTGATCATTAGTTGAGGGTGAGTGGTGAAATTTGAGAGAATCACTTACCCAAAATGTTGACCCCCGTCATTCAGCAGAGTATGGATGACAACCATGGACTATTCTAGACAGTCTGTGGAACACTAGCAGGCCCGCAACCTGTAGGTGTAATGAACTATATGTTCATTTGATGTACTCTAAAACCCATTGACATGTATTGCAGGGGGGGAATACATGTAAATAATACTGTCGATAAATGAGAGTTATGAACTTAGCATATGTTGAATAAACCTTGGCAGCTATGGACTTAGTGCCTGTTGTATAAACCCTGGTGATGGTGTGACCTTGTGCCTATTCCTTAGGATGAATCCTTAGGAAGGAGTGATAGTTGAATCTTAGGGTAAACCCTTAAGAAATAAATAAGATAATGGGGTTGGGGTAATTTGGTTGATTGTTTGATGTTTAAGTACAATAAATTTATTTATTGTGGGTTGAAAACCCTATATGCTCACCAGGCTTCCAAGCCTGACCCACTCAACTTTTTATAATTACAGGTAGTGGACCCCGAGCATAGTCGGATGATGATGATGAGTGATTTATGGATTATAGGCCAGTAGTTATAAATAACTGTTGTAAGGCTTATAATATCTTGTTTATGCTTTTGATCTGTATCAGAACATGACATCCCGAGGTTTTTAATATAAAAAGGAAATTATATATTTCTTAAAGAAAGGTTTTGATAAACTTTTATCATATGTTGTTTTGGGGACCAATTCCGCAACATCTTTTAAAAAGATTCTCTGATTTTATTTTAAAAAGCATAAATTAAATCGGTCTTTTCTGGCCGAGAAATTAGGGGATATCACAATAAATAAATAAGGTTAATTTAGTAATTTGATTAGTAACTTCCAATAATAATCCTTATAATCATGGTATTGACTTTTAACCTAATTTCTCTAGGTTTATATTTAGAGTCGCTCAATCTCCACCGATTACAAGCCCTAGCCGATGATACAAAGCCGTCGCCACCATCGTCCGCCCCAAACACCTTCCTTCTATCTTCCTTCTTCTCGATTTTGTTTCTCTGACCTAGGACCATCGTGGTTACTCTATACTTTTCAACTCAATCCTCCCTAAAAAATCCAATCAATTCAGCAATGTCGACCTTAACAGACCAACCTAGCCCTAAATCCTTTTGTGGCATGTATTTGCTTAAGCGGAGAAAGAAAGAGGAGATTGTGATATGGAGAAAAGAGCAGAAGCTATGGTGTCGATCCAAGGAGGAAGACGAGGCAGGAAAGGTCAAGCAAGAAGAAGGATTTGGTTGTGGGATCGGCTACAGCAGGTAAAACTTCTCGATTCTTTTTTTTCTTTCTTCTTTTCATTCTGAAACGATTAATTAGTCTTGATTATCGATTCAATGATTTCCTAATTTCTCTATTCTCCTTCTGAAATCTCCACTTCTGTCGACTGTCGCTCTCTCTCACTGATTTTGATTTGATTCTCGAACTTCAATCATTATCAAGAGAATTATAAACCCAGTTGTATGCGTTTTCTGATTACAACTTCTCTTGTTTTCTTAATTTTTGATTATCCAGAGGCAAAGATTTCTCAGCATAGTATTGAGGTTGTTTCTAACTGAGTTGATTTTTTTCTGTTTTTAATGAGCGATGATTTTTACAAATTATTTTCTGAATTGCTGATTATAAGTCGTATTAATTTCTGATTATCCAGAGGCAAAGAAGTGATCTTTCTGATAGAAAGACTAAACACTTAGAGGGATTTGTCACCTGAGTAGCAGTAGACCAAATGTAGCCATGGATATTCCTTTGATTTTTGTTTTTCTTTCCTTTGTTTTGACAAAAATTCAATGGAGTGTTGATGAGTTTTGGGTTTGATTGTTCTTGATAGAAATGGATAAATGGAATGGATTTTTGGGGTTAATGTTTTACAGGAAATTGTTTGTTTTGCTTGACAGAATTCGATGTGGTGTTTATTGATTGAAATTGCCATTGAAAGAAGATTAAGCAATAACAATGAGTGGTTGTATTTCTCATTTGCAGGTATACATGAAATCAAGAACAAGAATGTTCTTGTTTTCTTGGCTGGGAAGGGTACATATGAGACTTACAACATTCTACTGGAATGGAATCTTGAATTCCGATTATGTCAGAATAGAATCTTGAAGATGAACATTCTATGGGATGAAGACGATTATTCTAGCAGAATAATATACAATATAATAAAAAGAAATATATGTAATAGTATATTCTGGTAGAATGATTTATATATTGGTATTTCTTTGTTATTAATAAGTGTAACATTCTCATAGAATAGTATATAAATTTTTTTCTTTTCTAAGAATGTAATGAAATTTTTTTTAACATGTGTTCAAAATTTTGTTATTCTTCAACAGTTCATTAAATCAAAATATATATTATGTCAGAATGTGTATTCTTGTATGGTTCAATAATTTTTGTTATTTTTCTATATATTGATAAACATATTTCGTCAGAATTTTCGAATTAGGAGAATTATCATCCATACAATCAGATTTTTAAAATTAATAGAATCTATTTTCCCTTAAAATATGCAATTTTCCTTAAAATATGCAAATTTCTTTTATTAAATCTATATTAACTGATTAAAATACCCTTCTAGTTAAATTAGATGGTATTTTTCAATTATATTTAATTCAATAATATGTAATAATCACTTTCTTAAAATAAGTAAAATGATTGGACCACAATCATTCATACAATAACACAATAATTAGTTAGAATATAATAACCTAAGCATATATATATATATATATATATATATATATATATATATATATATATATATATATATATATATATATATATATATATATATATATTGATGCGACATAGATCCGAACCACCTCTTCACTCTCTTCTCTTCTCTTTATGGCAGCTAGTGCGGAGAGATCTGCGAGGTCACAACAAACAAGGTCGTTAGAGCCGCCCCAGGGACTGTGCCCCGGGAGTGGGCTCCGACGGTCAA